AACAGAAGGATGCGAAGCCCGAGGAGAAGAAGCAGGAAGAGGTGAAGAAAGATCATGCACCAGAGAAGAAGGAAGACCAGAAGGGTGAGAAGGTTAAGGATAAGAAGGACCCAAAGGTCAAAGGTAAGGAGGAGGATGAGGAGAATCAAGTAGCTAAGAAGGAGAAGGAATCAAAGCGGGAGGAAGCCAGGAAAAGGGCCCACGCTACATACATGAGGTTCTCTCGAGGTGTTCGGAGTGCGGGACTCATGTGCATACAGGCCAACACATGTCCTAAAAGCAAATAGCCTACTGAGGCAACAAAGACACACCTCCAGAGATCAAGCGCATGGGGAAGGCAGCGCACTACCGTCGTTGCCTCATGAGCTAGTTCTCGTTGAATTTGTATTAGTTTGTTTACTTCGATGATTTAGGTAAGGACCTCCTGGCAACACTGTACGAAGCTTGGCATGAGTGTGCAGGAAAATGGACAAAGAGTAATTTGTACTTGTCTGTCAAGTGCAAAGACAAGAGCAAACGACGCGGTGTGAGACGATGGATGTTCTATAAAGAAATGGTGGAACGATTCACTGCAGCAGGGGCTGAGTCGATTGTTCAGCACAAGCGTTCTGAGCCTGATCTAGCAGAGAAAGAGATTCGATACTTCCCGGACGCCCCTCAGTCTGAGGAGCGGGTGTGCTGTTTTCACTCGTGGAGTTTGGGGGCGTAACTCATATTGCACCGAGTCACCATGCAGGACCTTCTTCAATACCTAGTGCTCGATACTGAGATGGAGGTTACCGAGCACGAAGAGACTGTATCGCAGCTGTATGCCGCGGCGGAAGGGAGTGATTCAGAATCTGAGCAGGTCGATACCTCTTCTAGTGAGTCAAATTCAGGGGACACGAGCTCACGTTCTGGCAAGAGAAACCGTTCCAAAGAAAAGAAGTCTAAGCAAAAGAAAGAGCAGAAGGACTTCCCCACTGATCTACTTCCATTCGCTTTGTGCAAACAGCTTAAACTGTATAATATTAACAAGTACACTAGCGGCGTTTCTGGTTCTTCCATGTTGCACAGGACAGTGCCAAGAAGGACAAGAAGAAAAAGACTAAGAACAGCCAGAACAAAAACAAGAATAAGAACAAGAATAAGAACAAGAAAAAGGAGAAGAAAGACAAGAAGGAAAAGGACCAAAAAGAAGAGAACACAGAAAAGAAAGAAAAGGAATTGGCAAAGGAACACACCAAGCAAGCAAAGAAGGCTTGACTTTGTTTTTTTCACCGGTTTCCCACTGCCTCACTCGTCGACATGTCCAGGCCATCGACGCAGCCGGCCGCAAGATCAAGGATTCGATCACAGCCTTGGAAAACGCCAACAACTTGTACATGACTCAGAGAATGGCGGGATTTCAATATTAAATATCACCAAAATTGTCAAGCTGTAAAACTCTAAGGCAGGAAAACCTCCGGGTTGCTATCACGGGTGACATCAAGGCTAGCAGCGTGATAAAAGAACCTACTAATTAACCTAAACTTGATATTTGGTCGTGCAAAGGCTGCCGTTGCCGGCATTCAGAAATCCCGTGAAGCTTTGCAGAGGGCCCTGGATCAAAATTTGGCCAGGCTCTCAGCCTCCCCAACCATCACCAAACAAGGAACTTGATAATGGTTGTACTCCAAACCCCGACAAATAAATTATGAATCTTTGTTGTTGGTCTTGTGTCAGGTCAAGGATTTGGATGGCCTGACAAGGCAGCTGACCACCTTCGGCGAGAACTATGAGGAAGCCGCAAAGCTGGCAAAACCCAAAAAAGCCCGGAAGAGCTAGATCCTCTCAGCTATGGTTCTCCTTTTGGTTTTGCAAAGATGGGTTCTTTGCATTCTAGTTAGATCGCTGGGTGTGTCTTAGCTGCTTCCCCATCAAAGACCACACGATATAGCTAGATTGATCAAACATAGCAGCCTAGCGTCTGATTTAATTTATAGATCGACAATCAATGCTTGCCATGTTCCTTCCGACTCCACCTGGTCCTTCGGGGGGGCACGGCACACTCGGCTACTAAGTTTTGCATCTGAGAGGCGGTGCAGTCAGTCAAGAGCTGCTGCGCCAAAAGCATGGCAAACCGCACAGCGATCGATGCATCGATTGAGTTTGCGCATGAAAGCTTTTAAAGCATTCGATGGATGTCTGAGAATAAAAGTTACATGCGCATGCATGCAGCTTAGAGTTTTATTCCATTCACAGTTTCATTCACTTATGACAAGCAAGCTTGTACAACTTGCTTGATTAAAGCTTTTTTCAATTCGGAACCTGTGTCATCGCCACGCGCAGATTCCGACACGAGCAGCGAGCAAAATGACTTCTCGGAAGATATGATCTCCAGAGTTACTGAGCAGGCATGTGCACTCACACTTGCACTCACATGCATGCGCTCCGCTTGTTCAATTTATGTTGAAAGTCTCCGTGTGTGTGTACACGCTCGGAGGCTCACAGTGTCCAGTCAGTGGTGAAGTCAGCTGCAGCTAGTTCAAAGGAGTCTATAACTGTGCATGCATGTGCATTTGTCAGCTTTCTCCCATCATATTACACTAATCACGTGTGCAACGCGGTGCAGGAATTCAAGAACCTCGGGGATGTCGGCGAGACCGTGTCCAAGCTGGCCGCTAGCAGCAAAACGCGGAATGCTTCTCGAGATTTTTGGCGCCGATGGACTTTACCATTAGAGCCCAACCCGTGCACCAAGTCAATGTTTGATATATTGTACGTACTTGTTCAACTTCTTTTTTTAAATTGGTGTTGAGCTGAAGGAGTTTCAACAAACACTCGACCTAAGGAACCTGCTATGATAGAACTCCCAGTCATTGACCAAAGTGACCCTTTGAAAGTAACCAGCATGGCCTTTCCCTACCTGAAGCCTCACGAAGTGCTGCGATACATGTACGAGGATGTAGGTGCCAAGACACCCCGTGCTCACATTGATTTCTACTGGAAGTGGTCAAGGCACTTTGGGTGCAAGTTTGCGACGCTGGGTGACGAGACTGTGATTCCTTGTGGGCTCTATGGCGATGAAGCCAAGTACAATGAAGGGCCTCCACAGGAGAAGATCATAGGGATTTATCTAAATTTTGTTCTCTTCCGGCCCGCCAGCATTCGCCGATCACGGTTCTTGATTTTTTCCCTCAGATCTTGCTACAACTTGGGCCCTCATACACTTTATCCACTGTTCTGGAAACTTGTGGAGAGTCTGCATTTTGCCTTTTTGGGAAAGTGGCCTGACGGGAGTCAACTGTGTTCAGATGGCTCCCGGTTCATGATTACAGAACTCCGTGGAGACCTGGCTTGGCACAAGGCCGTTTGGCAATTTGAGGAGCGGGGCTGGCAATCAGCCGATGTTTGCTTTTTTTGCCAAGCTCAGTCCAAAGGGCACGTTTGTCCGTATACGATGCTAGGGCCCGAAGCAGATTGGGCACAAACCGAATTCAAAGACCCTTGGCTTTGGGCTGGTGAAGTACTGCCAAACAGGCTTTGCCCTTGGTTGGGTCTGCCAGGGTTTTCGATAGACACTGTCCGCATGTGCACCATGCACAACGTCAACCTTGGATTGATGCAAACGGCGAATGGTAGCAGTTTGTCCCTTACCTCGACAGGTAACTTTTCTCAGTCTTGGGATGTGGTAGGTTAGTTTTGTTCAGGGGACTTTCGATGGGACCAAAATTGCTGGTCAATGGTTCTATGATTCATGCACTAAGTTGTGTGGTGTGGTGAAGGATCAATTTGATTCAGAATGGGCTGTACGGCGATCCCACAGATCCAATGGATCAGAACCTCAAGAGACTCTTTGCAGACTTTGATGCCTGGTCCAAAGAGAACAAAGTTCCACACAGCCAAAGGTGTTTCACTTTGGGCATGGCATCTAGGCCACAGCAAGAGCACGGTTCAAACTTCAAGCCTTTCCTTTTTTTGGGGGGGTGGCTGTTTTTCCTCCAAAATCACATCTTTGTCCTGATGTCTTGTGCTGGGTCCTGACCCCACTGGCCAATAAGGTGATAAAACAGAACAACAACGTGGTCCTCACACACAAGGCATACACTGGGCGTGTACTTTGCGCTTACTCTGCGGAAGTGTCCAAACTCGCGGCGGAGAAGCGATTGGATGTTGTAGGGCCACGGCGAATTTTTGGCAAATGGCTCAAAGACCAGGTTCAGAACGGCGGATTGCAAAGCTATTTGAATGATCCGAAGCTTCCGTTGCAGTCTGCTTGCATGCCCGCTGGTTTGCAACAGCTAGCATTTCTTTCAGGGTCCAGGGTTCCAGGGTTCGTTTGTTAAGAGTTTACAAGTCAATAGTGTTCAAGCTAGATAGGTTTTAATTGTGTTCCTCGACCTACCAACGACTCAAGCTCTATGAGGTCAGCTGGCGAAAGGTGGTTTGGCCTGGTTGAGCGATCTGGGCGATATTTGCAACTCGCTTTGCGCTAGCTAGGTAGGCTCTATGTGCTAGATCATTGTTTCTACATAAGACGCGCGTGCCCACAAAATGCTCAGGTCACGCCAGGAGGCCAAAGACATCTTTGACGCGGGACAGTCATTCTGCAAAGGCCATATTTGCCTTTCATGGATCCACATTAGGCCTGGTTCTGTGAAACTTTGGTCATGTGTTCGTTGCACGTTTGGGAATCCAAATTGTTTGATGTTTGTGCCCTGTGGAGGGAGCAACGTGACTTACAGGCCAGGGGAATTTTTTCTCCAATTCAGTGGCTCGTAAAGCCCAAACTGCATAGTTTTGATCACCAATTGATCACAAGCCTGGCAACCAGGACGAACAGTCGATTTACACACTGTTTCACCGACGAGGATTCCATGAAATGGATCAAGTCGCTGTGTGTGCGGCATCCCTCTGTGCATCTTGAAAGATTTCTGATACGATGTTCACAGATGAGGATGACAATTAGCGTGAGAAACATGCGAAGCATGAGATTCACCAGTTCGCGGAGGTCTAAGAGATAACTCTGCAATATATCATGTGTCATGTGCACACATGACAAGTGCTTTGGCGAAAGGACCCGTCGAAAATGAGTGCTTACATGAACGCACTTCAAACCCGGGTGCTTTGGAAGCCTTGGGTATATATTATTATCTATGATTTTGATCTACTGTTTCAGTGGCTGGAATCTCCAGTATGATCCTGCAGAGTGTTATTGAATTTCTACCCTTTTGGTGGTGTTAGGTGGTCTACTTACTGAGCTCCCCAGCGAACCTTCAGCCTCCCCAGCGAAGGGCTGTTGGGCAGTCCGATCATCTGAAGACACCGACAAGGCTTGATACAGAAAGCCCGGAGACCCACAACGACTTGAGATATCTGGACCCAAATGGCAGGGATGTCGGCGTACGAGTCGTAGACGTTAAGCATCATTTCTCCACCAAAACGCTGCTCGTAGTCCTTCATGAGCTTCATCATTATCCCGCTGTCACCGGTGTTCCACACGCAGCTCCGCTCAACTCACACGGTTTCCCTTCCGCGGTCCGAACGGACCGGGTGACGATTTCCGCGTTCGGTTCGGTTCTAGGATGTCCACAAGTACGCTCAGCAGACGGCCTCCTTCAATGAACTCTGGATCATCGATGTGGATGCGCCAATGAAGGAGTGCAAACTCAAGCTGGAACTCATGGACTGGGACTCTGTGACCGGTGCGGAGCCTGGGATCGAAGGAGATGACAGCGATGAACACAGGTCTCGGAAATGGAGGGTTGGGCAGGGCCCTAACAGGCTTCAATTGGTGACCTGTTGGAGGGTGCTGATATATTACTATATTGTTTAATTGGATTTTGGGATTTTGATGGATTTTGTGACTTGATTTCTCACGTACTTCGACATGTTTACCGGGTTTCACCCTCTCACGTTCTCCGTGAGGGAGAAATGTTTTCACACCCATTTGCATGTCTATTTTTTGTCTTGGAAACCCAATGAGTGTTGCATGAACTATTCACGTGGGGGTTATTCGGGATATACTGGGTGGACCTACTGTGACCTACTTTGCCTTTGAAGATCTTTGGAGTGACGTGTTGCTATCAACCTCTCTGCAAACAGTGAATGAACGTGTGAAATATAGTAGGATCCACAGTGGGTGGTTAGTGGACACCCCTTATGACCTCTAAGCGGCTACCAGTCTCCGATGACCTTTTAGACATCAGCACACGCGTTGAGTGCTTTGGGTCAAGAAAGCATTCGTGCATTCGACCACCACAAAGAATGGATGGTGAGAAAATACCCCGGGGTGCGAGGAGAACATGGTCATGTTCATGTCAGATTCTCTACACTAACAGTTCATGTAAATCTCTACCTCTGCTCCTCCTACACATCAGCTGATTTTCGTGACATCCCTGGTATCTCAGAACTCACCCATAGACCAACTTTCTGTCAGCAACTCTTCCTTCGAATCCCTGGGCAGATCTCCTTCCGCACGGTACAGCACGCAGCACGCACCACATGGTACGCGCCACATGGCCGGTTCGGCGCGTCGTCGACCGGTGGAACACGCAGACCGACGACGCCGAGGATCTCATCTATGCTTCCAAGACCTTGGCCTTGGAGCCGCTGGTGACCGCGGCCTACTGGGCCAAGGTCTTGAAACGCCCCGAGCCCGGCGAGGTGGACCACCAGGCGGGTGGAGAGCGGAAAAAGGCGGTTGGGATGAGGATTCGGACGAAGGGGTGGTGGAAGGAGAGGGTGAGGATGGTTGGATGAAGATGCCATTTGATGGGGAAGTCAGGCAAAAGTACTTTTGCAACCGATTCGCATATAGCGAAATTCTCTTCATTTCTATTCTCCCCGAAGTCGCACGCCACTTCAGTTCTGGGTCCCGGGTCCTGGCGACGGTACCGGGTCCGGCTTTTCACCTGCTTGTGTTGACGCTGTCCTGCTTCGTGGCCCAGGTGGTCTTCGATTGCTTTCCTCCAGACCATCCAGGCGGACTGCCCACCTTGAGATGACTTGATGATGTGGATGTGGAGATTCATTCTGGTGTTTATCGGTGGTTGGATTTTCTGCGAACAAAGATATACTGTTTCTGTATACAGACTTACAGACGTGCTTTACGTCTTCTTCTGGTGCTTCCTGCAGATGTCCTGCATCGGGAGCCTTGTGGGTACGGGCCGGAACTGTCCCAAGGGTCGGACGTCCACACGGAAGCAGTGCACAAGCAGGGCAGCTGCCGGGGTTTGGATGGGCGATCCAGGCAAATTGTCAAAGAGTGAAGGAGACACTCTTGTGGACCTGTTGGATTGAGACACCTCTTCCTATGGAAAATTTTCATCAAGAGTCTTCCAAGAACCATCGATCTATTGACCATCCCATAACCGTCCCTTGCACCACTGCTTGGCCAACTCTTTCATGCGGTACACCTAGATCTTCCAACTAGGCAACATCTATCAACACCTGCAATATTCCTGCCTGTTGGATCCTCTTGGCTGGTATTTTTAGACGAACAGGCAGAATTGTTGAACGGTTGGACACTCCACAAACGGCACTTGTGAAGCAGGCCACCACGAGGGCTGCGGCCGCTGCTGTCGCCGCTTCTGCCACTGTCTCTGCTTTTGCTGCCGGCGCAACTGCTGCCGACCACCGCCGACACAGCCTAACCCAGCGACCCTCTTCACGAGCATCGAAGTGGTCTTTCGAGAAGAGGCCCCTGGGAACGCACCACACCAAAAGGGGGTTTGCAAATGAGTCGCTCTCTGCAGGAAAGGGAACAATATGGAATATATAAAAAGTAGATTCCGCTAGTTCGTTGAAGGACAGCTCGTATTACAGCTTTCAACCAACAATTAGTGCAGTTTCAGCACATTCAATCTCGGTGGAAACTCCGTTGGCCATTTCCAGGTTCGTTCGGCAAGTTCGGCTCGTCAGACCGACCTTCCCCTTCCCTACCGCACTCACCGACTTGGGGCGAACCTCAGGCTTGGACGCCTCCGAGCTCCGAGCACTTCATGGAGCCCAAGGGACGGGTGGACTTGAAGGAGCTCATGGTGAGGCCGGTGATGGCGTGGTCGCCACGCCGCGGCGCTTTGGTCGTCCCTTTGTTCTCGGGGTTCCCCTGCCTTCGGAAAAAAGGGGGGGTTCCACCGGCCAAAAAAATGGGGTTCCACCGGGACGTTTTGTTGGGCCTTAAAGACGACTCTGGCGTTTGGGGAGTGATCTAGAAACAGCCCGAGAGGGTCGATGTTGGAAGATCTTAGATGCATCCAGCTCACTTTTAAGATCTTTTAAGAAGAGCATATATAGAAGACCCAATGCGCATGCACACGGTGTCGTTGACGTGAGGTTTCTCGTGTTCAGCATGTCCACAACGCGGCGGTGTTCGATGACTGGCGGTCTTCAGGGGCTAAAAGCCCGGTGGTTTTTGCAAAGATGTGCGGGAAACTCGAGGGACCATTGCATTTTGGACATTACCACGTCCGAAGAATTCTTTTGGTATGAGGGAGCTTAGAAAGACTTCCTTGACTTGAAGAGGTTCAGAAGTACTGAACTGTGTCATTTGAAGCAGTTTCTGGCCTCCCCAAATGCTACAGCTGTCGGACCAGCACTGGAACCCCAGAAGCAAACCCTGTCGGATGGATCTAACCCGGTCGCTGGTCGCCGCTGGTCGCCCTTTCCCCGGAGGATTGGGGGGTCTTCGAGTCCGTTTTAAGGCTCCTCGCTGGGTGCCCAAAGGAGCACAGATACTGTTAGAAATGAATGGAGAATCAGACTCTTGCAGCAAATGGCCCGAAGATGGTCCAGTATACTCAGTACTCTTGACAGTATGATGTTAGCCTTAGCCAGCAGGCTTGGATGATCATTTTACAGCAGGTGCATTTAGCACTGAGTTCCCGATTCATGAGGTGGGCATTGGCCTTCCAGTACTGTTCTCCTGTCCTGGTCCACACCCGCCACTCGGAGGCCGCACAAAGCCATGCGGATCATGTTGGGCCCTCGTAATCTGAAGGCGCAGCACTGATGACGGGTGGGCCTGGGAGGGGCCCAGGGGGGCTAAGCTCTAGATACTTCAAGGTAGGACGATACGGTATCCGGTAGATGACTGCTCAGGGGAATGCACCGTGAGATATATTAAGAAAAGAGTGAAATCCCCACTTTTTCCAGCTTGGCCAATAGGTCCAGTGTTGCCACGCTTTGGTCAACAGTGCTGGTTGAGTGGACACCCGAAGGAGCGACGAATGAGCAGCGGATGTTGGTTCTTTTTCTTTCTCTGCTCGGTCGTCACCGATCGTGGCCATCCAATGAATCCGTAACTTGTCCCCCAACCCCTTAGGTTGTCACCAACCATCCGTGGGTGCCCACTGGAAGCCCAAGAACGACCAATGTGTGCCGATCGTGTGTTCAGACACGTTCAGACGCCCCTTTTTCCGGATGGCAGACTCAAGACGACCCATCTGGGACTGGAAGATTGACGTTGACCGTAGGCGGTCAACCAATGTGTAGGTATAGTAGTATAGGTGAGAATATCACAGTATATAGTAATGGCATACATATTATATATATGCCAGTCCCATAGAGTGTTTTGGGGTTGATTGATAAATCCTCCATATGCAGAGGTGTCACAATCCAAATGGGGGGCTATTCATCAACAGTCTAATGAAACGACCTGGAGAAAGCATCGACAAGGAGAAACATTTGGGCTGTCCATTTTTTTCCTTCTCACTGAGGGTTTGAAGTATACCTGGCTGGGGACAATTGGATGTGAACGACCATTTTTGAGGTTGAACATTCTTGAAAAGTGAGTCTGTTGGAACTCTCTTGGCCCAGGTTGTATCAAGCGCTGCGACTTTCTGCGCAATCTTCATGACCTTGCTGGTGGTCCTGGGCGTTACATTCTTGTTTATCCATATTTTTATAGTTCCCTTGAGGTCCTAGATCTGGTCGTTTCGATCATTCGGGGCATTTTCGGAGGGCACCGAGGGCAACTGAAAGAAGAACGGATGCCGGCGTGCCCAGCTGCCTGTGTCACTCGTAGCCTAGCCTGGAAGTTGCTATGTCCGGAAGCCAAGCCTCGAAACCACCAAACCTAAAGGTTTTGGGGGGGCCGTGAGCTTCTACCTACGGTTACCGTAGTCCATCCTTCAACTCCTGCCTTTTTGTGACTTCCGTGCACCTTCCAAGACATTCCAAGCCCCTAGCTGCTTGCTAGTGACGTCGAAAGGGATTCTGCACCGAACTCTTTTTTTTAATATAAGGGGCTCGTGAATGAACACTGACCATAACTGACCCCAAATTTGCCCCCACCAACCCTTACTTGCAGTCTTCACGGCGTTTGGCTCACGAGGAGTTCTTTTTTGTGATGATAAGCTATACACTTACGTGGAATGTTTCTCACGTGGAACGATCTGTTTGTGGGTGTGAGGCCGAGGGCGCACCACAATGATGAGTTCTACAAACCATTTAGTTGGACACATCTCCAAGTTCAGGCGCATCAATATCTGCTAGTCGACAGAGTGAAATAGCACAGTTTCTTATCCTGTTGTGACACTATATACTATCCATTACTATCCAAAAGTTGCTGACGGAGCTCCAGTTTCTCACAATCCTTCTTTCAAGGCTTTTCGTTGACTGGTCCAAATTGACATGTATATACTTGGAACCTGAACAACTGCGGTTTTCTTGTGGACCAACGACATCTCTGTTCGAGGCTGAGAGATTTGGGGAGGAATTCCAGTCGATTCGTGGTGCAATCCCACTGTAGTTCGATCATGCGCTGAATTGGTGGCAACTCGAACCCTGACCAGCTGGGTTCGTCCACTGTTCTCGTCCTCACTTGCTGGATGCAAAGTGTGCGCCATTACTATGCCGGTAGGTCAAGCTGCGCAATGGAGGCGATTGGGTCACATCGAAATGACTTTGTCCTTTGGCTTCCAACCACCACAATATACTTAAAATAGGCTGACTCCCGAATCAACTCAGGATTCTACACTACTACAAAACCAGGTCAACCATTTGGTTACGGTCGATCGGAAGTCTCGGGTTGTGGTGAAGCAGGGATATCGGGTGGGCGGGATACATCTATCGGGGACCGGCGCGGGCGGACGGAAGCAGATCGGCATCTGGTTCCAGAACTCCAGATCAAGAACTCGGTTGAATGTGTCCAAAGTCTGCTGGATGGAACTGGAGTCTGATTCCAGCTCCAGAATGTGTCCAAAGTCGGTTCAAGTTCGACCTGGAACTTTTGAAGACATGTGAGATGGGTGAATGGGACTCCTTCGTTTTTTGCGTGGGTTTGCCGCATGCGGCAGACTCTGACCCACTGAGAGAAGAAGTGGATGATACATGATCATACATACGCTACTAGGGGCTCCTGGCATTACTACTAGTAACAAGAAGCTACTAGGGGCTCTTGGCATCGCTACCAGGAGCAAGATCATACTTGTAGGCCCCAGGAATAAGACCGCTCTACGAACAGGGAGATGCCATGCACGTCCATGTGGAACAGTGGCGTTCGTGTCGAGCAGTGAAGGATCCGCGGTTCGGTCGGACTCCGGTGCTCCGTTAGGCGGTCCTTTTGGAGTGGATATAAATAATCGGAGACGACTGCAGCTTTTTGGATCAGGAGAGGTACGAGTTCACCGTCATGGACACCATGATGGACACTGTCAAGTCACACCCCATCCATGCCAGTCACATTTGCTGCCGCAGTCACGGCACAGTCACAGCACAGTCACGGAACTTTGAAACCACGGAACTCGAGACATAGCACTTCTTTCTTACATATTGGAATATGTTGGAATGCTGGGTCTGTGATCTTCCCAATTTGGGGGTCTTGAGAAGTGTGAACAACATTGAAGAACTCAAAAGCAGCCAAATGCCTCCAGTGAACCGGGAGAGAGCGACGTTGTCTGTCTCTGGGTCTCCACACCCGCCGGATCGGCGGATTGGACGTTGGTGTCCAAGCTGCAGCGAGAGAGCGACTTTCAGGCGGTCCCCGGAGAGGGACTTTTCATTGGAGAGGGCGACGTCGACTGAAAGACCCGGCCTAAATGATGGATCTATAGCGAGCGAGGTAGCTCTTTGGGGGCTTTGATGGATTTTGCTAGAGGGCAGGGTTTTTTTCTTCTTGGGGCCAGGCCCTGGACATGGAGGGGATCTCACGAAGGGCTCCTTCCCTCTGCAGTTGATGCATCATTCCTCCGTAAAAGGGAATGATGAAAACACTCATCTGTCTGTGTGTTTACAGTGGTTTTCAGAGTAGATGGCACAGACCCCAAGATGTCCGGACGACAGATGGGGGTCCATAGGACAACCTCTCAATCCACTTGGGGGCCCCTGCCATCTACGTCCTCTCAATCCACTCGAGACCAACCTCCCGGATCATCGCTTCGATCGACCCGTGGAGCGGCGATGCGGAGCTGGTGGTCTCGATGGCTCCGTTCCGACCGAACAGCGGGTGAACTCCACTTCCAGTTCCAGGGAGAGGACCTGATTAATGACATGCGACAGTCAGGTATGGTTGCAGGGTCCATGTCATGGCGTGAGATACAGAATTGAAGTGAATTTAACGCGCTAGCGACAGTCGGTCCTGCACCATGAAAGTCATGGGAACTTGCATTTCGATATCTACAATGGATCAGACATGTGCTCTGACCTCATGTACGCAGTGTGTGGATTTGCAGCCTATAGGTGCTATGGCCATAGTCCCTCCAATTGTTTGACCCGTGGAACATCCTCGATGAAGAAACTGGGGGCCGCAAAGAACCAAGAACTGAAGAGATGATACTGTAGACCTTTCTGCAGACCTTTTACCCATCCCCTCAAACTCCTGTAGCCAGGCAGTGGACGGTTTCCGACCGGCGACCGGACCAGAGGACGCACACATGGCCGGAGGACTCATGCTGATGCAAATGAGTTGAAGCCAAATCCACCTCCCCACGACCAATTCACGCCGCGAGAGGCGCATGCCGGCGCGAGCAGTTCGCGGCGCGAGCCGGCGAACTGACGCCGGCGCGAGCCGGTGTTACAAAGCCGACCGGTTCTCAAACCCCCCGGTTTGAGGCCATGGCTTCGTTTATGTTCTTGACCTTTATCAACAACATGAAGCCTGGCTACGAGGTGGACCTGGGACTCACCGTATGGGACTCGCGACTCACGACTGGGGTCACGGTGGCGGACGGAGGCTGAACATGGGCTGCGCGGCGCTTTTGTTGGACGGTGACAACGGTGCCAGGAATGGTGGAAGCAGTGGAGGCTTGGTGAAAGGTGCTAAGTTGAGCTTCAAGTTTCAGAGAGTATGCGGTCAACAGCGCTGAAGGGAATGAGTATCATTGAGCACTGTCGATGTAATGTGACACTATGGGCCGCAGTTTCCAAACCCCGAAGTGACATCCCCGCAAGACTCTTGGAGAGCAGAATCCCAAGATGTGTTATACAAGCCTTGCGGCACACCCCACTTCCTGAGCCATGACTCAGCGAGCTGAGCCAGCTCGTGTGTTTTATAAGGGTGGGCGGGAACTGGATGAAGAACCAGTAGCAGTAGCAGCAGCATGAGAAATGGCTCAAAACCTGGAGCCCCACCATGTAGCTTGAGCTTGCAGGTGGTCGGTCGTCTGTTCATGACCCAGGTGGTCAAGACAGGGTCCTCCTATTTTGACAATTTTTGACCCACATTTATGAGAACTGGTGGCTCATGAAGTGAGCAAGTGAGCAGCATGCTCTTCATCGATCTAGTTCTTTTTGTGCAGTTCTTTTCCATTTCATTCTTAATCATAGTCTCACTTCTTGAGAACGGACGCTCCGCCCCCATTCCTGCCCGTCTTCGCACGCGCTCCACCTCCGCGCACGCCAGAGCCGAGTGGACACTACGTGGGAGGGGCCCAAGTTGAAAAAGGTTTGGGCGGATATGGAGCACAAGTGCTGGGAGACGTGGGGGTCTCCCAGATCTGGGCGCGACAGTCGTGCTGTTGTCTGGGCACGATGGCTGGAGACCCCCGATCTCAGAGACACCAGATGGTCTGGTGAGATGAGCTGGAGTAGCGGGAAGACCCTTTGGAGAACTTTGGGGTTTAAGTATACTGTAGTTGTTTATAAGTTGTTGATGTTTAGTTTAAACATGTTTAAACTCTAATCATCTCTAATCCATCTTGGGGTTCACCATTCATGCAACATGCGACTCATGATGATATTCACCACTTCTGTTTGTGATGGATGCATACATGGCCACGTTTTTAGAGCTTAGGTGGTCCGGGAGCATGTGAAATACAGGCCTCCATGCGGCCTCCGAAACCCGACGGTTTTCCAAAAGGTCGAGGGGTTTCTGACCGCGCGCTGATTGCATCAGCAGGGTCAACCAGCAGGGTCACTTGGGTTTCTGGTGTCGTCCACTTGCGTTTTCGTGACCTGTAAGCAGCATAAGAAAACTATAATGATTGCATCGTGTTTTTCCATGGTCTCCCGGTCTCTTTCAACTGTGCGGATGCGTTTCTCAGTCGACCTCCATCGAGTGAAAACGGGACGGGAGGGTGGACCGGGCGATCGAAAATGACCGGACGATCGCTCGGTTCCACCGTTGAGGTTCACACGGGGTTTGGTAGGAGATGGTCTCGCCATCGGTCCGATGTTGATGTGCTCTTTCGAACCACAGCGATGCATCCACCGGATGTGGCTGAGGTACTTGGATGAAGCAAACGATGATTCCCAAGGAGTTACTTGGACCAGAAACTCTCCGGCGAGGTCGGACTTCTCACGCGTCCGCGGACGACCATGTGCATCGGAAGAGGGGCCGTTGGCCGCCCGGAAAAGAACGCAGGATGCAAACCGTTCGCTCTTCATTCCGCAGAAAAACCGGTGGACCTGGGTCCAAAACAGATCTCTACACTCAGATAAAGGAAACCTCATGATCCCATCATGATCCCATCACCATCCAGAGAATCCTCATGTCGTCTTTGCCGGATGTTCTCCAGACCTCTGCGATCTGCCCTCTGTCTCCATGGTTTGGATTGTCCCCAACTGAGGTTCACCCGTACCAGAAGCTCAAGAAAGAGGCTCGGTCGCCGGTCTGAGCCACCTCGAGCCGAATCCGATGGTCTGGTAGCCAGCAGAGTGGAGCTACTTCAACACCGAACCGCCGCACGAGCCAAGCTGAAAAACCGTTCGCTGGAGCAAGGCACAACGTTGCCGAGCTGGAATGTGTGGACAGATCCCAAAATGACACGGGGTGCATCGAAGCAGCAGCGTTTGGGAACCAAACCCACATGCCCTTACAAACTTGACCATGACATGACCATGATTCCACGTTTTACGGGCCAACAATGTCGACACCATCAAAAGCTCAGGCTCCCTGACTCCCTGCTCTGTCTCCGCTCCCTGTCTGCACAGGCTAGCCAATGTAAAGTGCTCATCAAGGAGGACACTCGTCGAGAAGTCCGGTGCCTTAGGACGGAGACAGTCGATCCCCGGTCGGTCCTCGCCGTGACAGACGTGTTTGGTGTGTAATTCATTTTGGGTGCTACGCTTTTGGTGTTTTTGATTGTGTTTTTTTTTTTTTTAATTTTTTTAAAACTTTCCTAAAAACACATTTTTACGTCTATTTTTGGTTTACACCGTTTTGCCAAACGCTTTTGGTTCTTTGGTCACCATGGCTCACCCGCTCAGGACTGCACAGAGCTGGTCGCCGGATCTTAAAATCATCCTGCTCTAGGAATTGCAACCAGGGAAGAAGCCTCATCTTTGGAAGATTTTGGAACAAACGATGTTGATCACATCCTCCCTTGCGGTCGATGCCCGTCCACGGCAGGGTCGCGGTGAACGGTCCGCATCAGATCGATGTTGATCACAACATCAATTCTCCCAATTCGTTTTGGTGTAAATCATACTTTCCGCCGCATCTAACCAAAAGAACCAACGCGAGCGACGCTCTTAGCGTGCTTTCTTTCAGACCAACCCGAGCCCCCGTCGTTCTTCGCCGGCCGTGGCTGAGATTCTCCAAGACTGCACCCAGAGGATCGTTGATTTCGCCAAGGAGTGTGCAGCTGGGAGGCACCGGTGGACGGAACACGCTCTGGGAGACCGGTCCTTTGGTGGTGTCTGCTTTTTCCCCACCTGCCAGGTGAGGTTGTGAGATTTTATGAGAGCTCCTCTCCTCTCCTCTCCTCTTCTCTTCTCTTCCCTTTCCTCTCCTCTCTTCTCCTCTCTTCTCCTCTCCTCGTCTCCTCAACTACCGCCAGCTCCAGATCCCAATGGGCTATACCTCAACTGCAAGTGCATGATCGCAGTGGGCACTACCGGACCTCAACAGCAAGCGCCAGATGGCAGTTGGTACTACCGGACCTCAGAAGCAAGCGCCATACCGCAGTGGGCACTCCCGGACCTCAATCGCCAGCTCCCGATCGCAACCGCCGGACCTCAACAGCAAGCGCCAGATCGCAGTGGAGGCCAGATCGCACTGAGCACTCCTGGACCTCAACGGGCAGCTCCCGATCGCAGTGGGGTCTGCCGGACCTGAACGGCCAGCTCCAGATCGCCAGATAGAAAGTCAGAATATTTGCCAGATAGAAGGACAGGTTGTATGCCAGGCAGAATGCTAGAGTATTTGCCAAGTAGAATGCCAGAGTATATGCCAGATAGAATGCCAGCAATGAAGCCAGATAAAATACAAGCAGTTATGGTAGATAGGATGCCAGCAGTTTTGCCAGATAGAACTCAAGTATATGCCAGATAGAATGTCTGACTTTATGCCAGATAGAATGCTCATGTCAGAGCACATACCAGGACTGAAGTTGGTCCATTTGTCACAGCACATGTCAGACAGCATAAATGTCAGAACACACGCCAAGAAAGATGTCAGAACACAGTCCAGAACGCTTCCCAGCCTTTGTGATAGATGATTTGTCAGAGCACAAGCCAGACTTGATGCCAGAACACGCGTCAAAACATCATGTCAATCCGCACAAATCGCCTTTCAGCATAGGGATCGCTCGAAGTAAAGTGATTTTTGTTTTCGAGCCGGAGGCAGGGCGTGTGTTTTGTTCTCTCTATAGTCAGAGAGATTCCGAAAACAAACATGTGGAGCGCCAGGCATGTTTTCTTGCTTCATGTGGGGGAGGATGGGAATTGGTTTAGTAATGTTTAGTAGAGTTTAAACGTGCTTAGTGTAGCAACCCTGTACTGAATGTTTGGAGTTGGATGTTCGAAACGATTTGGGAGTGTGGGGGTGGCATGCGGCATGCAGTTCAAATGGCACCTACTGCGACACCACGACACATGGTGCACAGATTGGGGATCATACTCAGTGGATATCATATACTCAGGTTACCCAACCAAAGATTTCTTCGAACAGAGAATTAATTTATACTGCAGTGGGTGTACGCTCCAGAAGAATCGTTTAAGGCTACCTTGGCAGTTTGGGGAAACAGTTACGATGTAGCTGGTGACAACGGTATCTCTTCTTTCGATGTCTGTTTTGTGATGTTTTGTGTATATGAATCAGGCTGTCCGTTTTTTTCCCAGACGCAACTCCAAATAGTCCAATGTAGTCAACTTAAGATGTCGTAGGGTTTCAAAAATCTCCCAGTCGAGCCCTGTTGTTGGGAGTGGCTCATTCGGCAGATCCATTCTTGGTTTCCCAACTCACTGGAGAAGCCTAGTCTCTCAGGCGGAAAGCCATGAGTTCGGTTCCTGCCAGTGGCTCCTCAAGTCGAGCACCAAGAAGAGAGACTTTTTTGTTGGAATCCTTGGGGGATGATTCATGCACAACCCTTTAGTTGCTAAAACCAAATACACCGTGAGACATGGACCAGATGGCCGTTTTTGAGGGGTTCCTGGTTCGAAGCCTTTTCTGCAGAAAAGCTGGACAAAACATTCAACAGCTGCAGAATTGGCGAATATTGCCATGCTCAGATCAGACTCAGTGACATGTGCGGTTGCTTTTCTTCCATCTCCGTCGGAACGCGTCGGGACCTTCACCCACGAGGTTGGGTAGCAAACATGCGGAAGGAGAGGAAAACACAATTCAGAGAGGAAATCCTTATACAAGAGCTTGATTCCACTGGTCACCTGGTGGTCCCCGGAGCCACTTTGCTGTAAATGCTTTGCAGAGTGGGTCACGAAGCTCCAAGAAGCCGAGGTCGGGATTGAGCTCTACCCGTGTGGGCCAGGCATTGCTGGGATCCTGCGATAGGCTGCACTGCCGATGATGCCAATGATGCCAACCTGGTTTCACTTGGGCTGAAGTTTCGACCATGATCTGACAACTTCAAAAATACTGAGGAGTTGATATCTGATGGATTTCCGTGGCTTACTCGGACTATTTAGGTGATATGGGACGCCACGGTTGAGGTGTCAGCAGTATCCTCGTTTGGACCCTGAGGAAGAATATACGTATAGACCAAAGTGTTTCAAAGGAATCCTGGAATCCTTCGCAACCTTAACCTGAACGGCGAAAAAAGAGACTATCTGCATTGATTGCGGTCTACTCTCTAGTGCTGTTTTCGGGAGCAAGTGATGCTATCTGCATTTTTTCGGTGACTGCCACCGCTCGTGCCACCGCTTGTGCCGTCCACTTCCGCGGTGGAGCAGAGCGATTATGCACCGGTGGACCGTCAGTGGAGCGAGGTGACGCCTCCTCCTTTTCGCTCTTGGACTCGAAGAGCAGAGCTTGAGTCCATCTCTTGGGTCAAACCTGACAGATAGGTCAAACATGGTCAAACATGGTCAAACATGGCCCCGCTGCGGTCCGGTTCTGGGTTTAGGGTTTAGGGTCCCTTCCTCTGCAGGTCAGCTCTGCGGCGACGCGGCGTCTGGATGCTTTGCCCTTGCGAAAAGAGAGAGGAGGAGCTTGGTGACACTTTGTGTGGGCGGTATGGCCCCCGAAAGGAAGACGATGTTCTGCCCAAAAGGGGGGTGGAACACAGGGGTGAACTCCACTTCCATGATTAGTTGGGGGGAAGGGTATTGTTGTTGAACATAGTGCACTCACCCAGTGTAGCATGGCGAGAGGACGAAGCATTTTTCTCGAACATGGTGGTGAAACGGCCTTTCTATGTTTGTTCAGCGGCCGTTTCAAGGACCTCACGGCGCTTAACCTTCGGAGGGATCCAGTAATCTATGAGAACTCCACCAAGCGCCATGAAGGTGGTAGACTGGCAGTGGCATGAAATGGCCCCCCCATCAAGGCGAAATCACCTTCAGATGAACTCCACCACTTCATCATCTTCATTCTACCGATGACCTGGTTCCAACTCGATGGTCGGATTCTCGCTGGATGGGGCAAATGCCAGCGCGGGCAAGAAGATGGATTTCACGGTCGTCAGAGTTGTCAGAGTCCACCTACCTCTCTTTTTCCAGATTTCAATCACCGGACCACCTGAGAAGAGGTGAAGAAAAAACATCACATGGAAGTGGTCCTAACAACGTCGCCTTGGCATCACGATGTTCCTAACAACGAACATGGTGAGATGGTTTTCCAATCCACGCCGCTCACTGTAGACTGCTCGTTTGTTTCTTCCGTCCCTCGGTGAGATCCGTCGCGTCGCTCCGCCACGACGCGATACGTGTGTGATACGAAGGTCTCAAGCTGTTTGCGGCTGTAGGGTGAGCATCATGATAGTCAGAACATATGAAATAGATGAAACTATACTCAAGCTGAGTACGCGCTACATATGTGACATGATGGGACTTTTCACTGGTACAAAAGCTAATATCAGATGCACCCTGCACATATCCATCTTTGGGGATCACACCAATGTCAGGATATTTGCCCGCAGGTCCACCTCTAATCCAGAGGTTTGGTCAGGACAGTAGTATTCCAGGGGCCCATGCCATCCACTTCCATGCGATTCGATGTAAACTCTTTTCTTCAAAACAGAACGTCCTGTGGTGCACACCGCGTGGGTTCCGGTACATGTTTTGCCCGGATTTGGGGCTGGAAAGGGGAAGATTTTTGAGATCTCTTGATGTCTTGCAAGCTTTTTTTTTGGTTGAAACGGACATGATACATGATACATGCTACCAGCCGGAAACACTGCCCCTGCCCCCCCTGCAACGGATCGACGGATGCGAGATCCAGATCGCTTGGATGTCTGTCCTGCCACATGGGTCAGCGATCCGACCAGTCTTCCTGACTGAAGCCTTTTGGTTTACAAAGATGCTGCAGCTCCAATTTGATCCACTTCTTTTTGTTGCGAAGTGTGCTCTGCACTGGCATTGCAACATGGCAAGGGTCGGTGAAAACAGGGGACCTTGGTGAATCAGCAAAAAGGAACAGAATTGATACATGGTCAACCTACCAGGGTTTGGAGCTTCAGGTTTTGACCCACTGCCAAATCAGCAAGTTCTGTCTATCCACTTCCTCTCTTCTCAAGCAACGTGGCATTTGGTTCCAATGGCGAATGGAGGAGGGCCCTCCAGGTGGCGATGCTCTTCCTGGTCTTTGGTTGGATCTTCGTTCAGGGTGTGGGTTGGAGTGTAGATAGAAGATGAAATGTTTCGGAAAGGATGTCCCACTTTCCAAGATATGCCTACTCCAGCACCACCAAAAGGGTGGTGTCTAGACCCCCCCTGAAGATGTATTTGCTGTCCAATCACCATCCGAACTGGGTGGTGCTGGCTATTGCTTATTTGTTCTTTTCCAGCTTGCGAACCGATTTGATGTCCTTCCTCAAAACCCGCACGAACACGGGCGAAGACGTGCCGTACCGGAAGGGAAGCTCGGGCGTTCACCAGCTTGCCGCCTGAAGCGTCGGACGGAGCCATCTTGGCCGTTTTGGCTTCCAAGCACCACCATGAATTTAATAGGCCGTATCCCGAAGCAACTAAGGATTTTACACTACAAAAACCAGGTCAAACATTTTTGATCATTTTTGTGAATGGTCTTGGAAGTCTAGGGTTTGTGTTACCCAGGTCTCAAGTGAAACATGTCGACTTGGACCAGGTTCCTATGGCCGGAAGTGACCAAGTTCCCAAGTTCGCTCATCGCGGTGCTTTTTTGGTTCGAAGATGTTCGAAGGATTCTGCTCAATCTTTTCACAAGGGCAACATATGTTTTTCGTAGTATCCAAGAGTTGCAAGGGTCCCAAGGTGCATTTTTTGACTATTGTTACATCCCCCGTGATGTTGTTGCATCCTGCCAGGCCTTACCACCAGACGAGGGGGATTTTCTTACCACATATGTTGTTTCCTTTTTTCTCTTTGGCACTGAAGAATGGGAGAACGCACCCTGCGGGGGTCCTTGACCGAGACGGCCTTCCCTGGAGGCCCAGACGAGAGGCCCCTGGCGGCATCTCGGCTGAACGAACGGCGTGGGTCGCCGCTGCAGGTGATGCCAGTCGTATCGAGTGTGGCAAACGAGGTGAGCTAAGCTCGTTCCGTGAAGACATGGAGTATATAGCACTTCGGAGAATGTAAAGAAATGGCGGAGTAATTGTTTCCTTAAGGCGAGCGGATTGTAGGATGGGGTGACTGCAGGTAGTGTAACAGTGTAGTAGCATAGCCGGAACTGTGGAAGTCTCGTCGAACATGTTGCAATCATCCTCCCTCTGGCACCAAGACAATGATTTCCGCGGCTGAGCCAACTACTGGGTGGTGTGTAGTCTGAGGGGCGGGCAGCCCCAAGCAAACCACCAACACAACATCCGTTTTGTGCACCACAAACTGTCACTGTGACTGTCCGATGGTCACTGGAAGTTCCACTTTCAAGCAGGGCATGACTGTCCGGTAGGGTCTATCGGTCTCAGGTGAACGGAGGGCCCCCCCTCGCTCCCGCGCCAGATACAAAAGACCAACCTGGATGGCCTCAGGTCACGATTGTGACGCTGGATTACTATTTGGCCAGGTGCGGACTGATGAGTTATGTCTCTTCTTCACGGGTTTGTCCTATATCGGAGAACCGTCAATCTATACTTGTACCTTGTACCATCTTGTACCACTGCCAGGCAAAATTGAGAGCATCCTGTATATATATATATATATATGCGGACACATGTGGGAAACCCACCTGATACATGGTCGGTCGTGCACCCGTGCATGCGCTCGCGGCGCATGCGCTCGCCTTCAGGCCAGGGCCCGGAGATTCCACCATCTCGAGATGCACAGGCAGAGCGTGTGGGCCCGGAGTTGATCCTGTCGGGCATGGATCTGGATCCGAGGGCGTTCGAGTCGGTTGATTCGATCGATCGATTTCAGATTGTTGGACATATCTGTTCGCCTTTTTTTGGTTCGTTGATCTGTTTTTTGCTGGGTGGCTAGTGATGCTTGAGCCTTGGACATGAGGATTTGTTTGGGAACATGCACCGTGGCTTGAGATGCATTACACGTGCTATTAAGTGCTTCTCTTTGAGACACCTTGGATTTGAAAAATTGTTTGTTGATCCTCTCGCACGCGGCTCTCTCTCGCGTCCTCAAGGCCACTTGGAAAAAGAATCAATTAAAAGAAGCAACATCTGAAGGATTCTAAAGGTCTGATGTAAAAGAAAGCACCACACCACACATTGAACAAAAGTGTCTAAAGGACTCTTTCCTAGTCAGTAGATGTGCTAGAAGGCTTCATGAAGGCTTCATAGCTAGACGGAAGGCAACATAGCGAGACAGAAGGACAGAGAGACAAAGACATACAAGTGCGTGGCTAGACACTTATATACCGTAGGACCGACAGCCCTACAGGACCACAGGCGTTCTGGGGTGTCACGGTTGTTCTGACCACAGTAAAAAGTACCTGCATGGTGGTTTCAGATATGGTTATTTTCAACCTTTACTTGGGGTGATTGAGCCCACAGACTCATAAATTTTCAAGTGAGTTGAAACCACCAATCAGGTATCTTGGAGTTGATGCGCGAAGTTGATGCACCATGCTCCGCGTCGGCTTCTTCGACACGGTCTTCTTCGCCTTGAGGCAAAGTGCTAAAGCAAGTGCCAGCCGCAGGCCTAGGTCGACCTTTTCAGGACCTTTTCCACATATCTTCGTGTCATTCCCACCAATCTTCCTGCGATGACTTGTGAGAATGACTGACCTGTGGGGATGACTGACATGTGGGCCGAGCCTGTGGGCCGAGCCCTGTGAGCGACACGGTCGCACCGGAGCTCGCTCCTCAGCGGTGCGGGACGACGGTTTTTTTTGGGGGTCTCAGCTCGGACGGGACATT